CCCCTTCCCTCCCCGATGATTCGCGAAAATTCTGACGGCGAAAACCAGGATCATTTTTTTTTCAGGATCTATATTATTTTGTTTCGTGTCAGTTGTAATTATCGTTACTGAGGAAATGGCACAACGCGCTGGTCAGACTGAGAAAAATTTGAAATAACGGTCGCAGCCATTATGTCACTGTGGTACAAGTGATCGAACGAAATTGTACATATATTAAGCTGTTTTTCGACTGGCAAGCGAATATCATTCACGAGTTACCGCAATGAGTATTATCTGTGCACACCTCGTGAACGAAGTACTTTCAAGCGATATGGTAATTTGGATAATTGAAAGATACGTGTGACACGTATGGGAAGTTTAAAAAAAGAAAGAAAAGCCGCGAAAAATATAAACTCGTTTGTACACTTGGTGAATCCGCCAGAATTACCTGGCATTCGAAGAAACGAATCGAATATCCTCAATTCATCTAAATTTCTAGCCGAAATTACTGAACATTTAATAGCTGAACCTGCTTTTCTGTCTGTCTTCTCGCTCATAATTTAATAATGCACTCGTATGGTCGAAGCTAAATTTCAGCTACACCTTGCGTAAAATGAAAATCACGTATATGCATTGACGTAAGTTTATTTCACCAGATCATTTGTCCCTCTTATACCATCAATGAAACACTAATACTATGCCCTGTCATTCAAAACCCGAAGCAGAGTGGTTCGTACAAATGTCCGCTTTAACGGCGAAAACCGTCGGACGAGGATTTCTCAGGATCGGGAACTGCGATTCCGACGATCGAACTGCAGACTTACGTTTGAAACGTTACGTGACACTGAAAATTTCGATCGGGGAAACAATCGGTAATTTTCACTGTCAAGAACAGAATGAACTGGCCGGGGTGGGTGTTTACGATTGCGTACAACTTACATGAAAATAATTGTAAAATGTATACGAATACGAATTTCCCCCAGCATGCTGATTGGCGCGGCATTGTCGTATGATTTTTTCACGCGTCTTGCCTCTATGCGAAATGTTACCGTTCTCTACGTTGCTTAATACGAAGAAGAAGAAGAAAAAAAAACGTGCGTCTATTTTGTACAGTGGTGTGCCTTTAAACTACACAACTTCGAGCCGAGTCGGCGCTACAACTGACCAAGCTTTTCGATCGTTCGACGTTCGACCAACTCCCATAGAATATAAAACATAGAGTGGGGACTCGCTGCCTTTTCTCTTATCGACCGTTGGATTTGCTAATGGCTCGGCCATGAAATAAACGGTACGAGACGCAAACTGAAACGAATAACCCGCGCTGATATGTTTGTGATAAGACGGAGCGGCGAATTTTAATCAACCTGTTTGTTGTAACAGAGAGATTAATTACTTTCGCGAAGAGAACGTTAACGCTTGGAATAGTATGAGTGTATCGGATAACTCGTACTTTTTATAATATTTTACATTTATAATGGGAAAGATTTGATTCGGAAAATTAGAAAAAGATTCTGTAGTGGCTAACGTTAATTCATTAAAATGACGATGATAATTAACATTGTTATCTTGTTATTTTATTTCCAAAATTAACGCAAAATTAACGCGTTGCAAAAGTTTTGAAATGTCGATAAAATATCATGAAAATCATCTGTATGTGAAAAATTATGAAATTTCTATTTTCACTCTTTTGTTTTATTGAATATTTCATTTTGTTTCAATATAGAAATAGCATTTCTTTTAATACTGAACTCTTAGTATAAATTGTAACACATTAAATATAAATATTCGTAATATGATATTTATTTGCAACGTGTTAATGTTTATATATATATACGCAAGTGTCATTCGATGACTCATTACCTCTCGGTCTTACGATAAAAATAATTAATTGTTACGTAAAAAAAAAAATTGATTTAAATGAGCGACAAGTGCATTATAAAATTTGTTCCTTCTGTCAATTCTGGATTTGTATCCTCTTGTCATATGCTCATGCAAATACGTGTAGAATGAAATATATGTGAGTTTTATAGTCGAAATTAAAGCATAAATAAAAATGGAAGGGCACGAGGAAGATGAATTGGAAGATTTACATTCAACTGTTTACACATTTCCACCAAATGTACAGAATGTGATCGAACAGGTTAGGTTGACAGTAAGACTGTCAAAATGTATAATGACACTTATCCTTAACAAATAGCTGGTGTTTTCTTGTCTTGTTCAATATTATAATTTGTTTCTTTTCTTCTTGTTTTTTGTTTTAATGATTTGAATGAATTTTATATCAAATAAATATTAAATAATTTTTTGTTTCTAGGTTTTACCTAGTACAGATCCATTGGACCAATCAAACTTTAATGTAGTGGATTATATAAATTCTTTGTTCCCAACAGAACAATCTCTATCGAATATAGACGATGTAGTAAACAATATGGAATTAAAAATACGTAATATAGATAAGGAAATTCGTTCGGTGGTACGTGGACAAACAAATGTAGGTCAGGATGGCAGAGCAGCGTTAGAGGATGCACAGAAAGTAATAAAACAATTATTTGTGCATATTAAAGATATTAAAGATAAAGCAGAACAATCTGAGGAGGTTGTTAAAGAAATAACAAGAGATATTAAACAATTGGATTTTGCCAAGAGAAATCTTACTGCATCGATAACAGCTTTAAATCATTTACATATGCTTGTGGAAGGTGTAGATACCTTAAAGTAATGCATAATAATTGTTATTAGTAAAAATGTAATTAACATAATTTAGTAATTATTATTTTGTAATGTTACTTTAATTTTATTTTAGAGTATTAACGCAAAAGAAACAATATGGTGAAATTGTTTTACCATTGCAAGCTGTGATGGAAGTGATGCAACATTTTAATAGTTACATGGATATACCTCAAGTGAAGCAACTGTCTGATGAAGTATGTGATATGTTTTTTTATGACACTAATATTCAATTATATAATTTTTAAATAATATATATAATTTTTAAATAATATTTTGAAACAAAGGTACATCAGATACACGTTGAACTGGCTCAACAAATTACGGCAGATTTTAAACAAGCATTTTCTGGTCAAAATCCAAAATACTTTAATCAACTAACTGAAGGTTGTTTGGTATTATCTGTATTAGATCCCAAAGTCAAGTATGTTTATTAAAAATTTAATTATATTAAGAAGTTTCAATACAAATCTTCTTTAAGTCTAATCTTTTAAGATTAATCTTTTTTACAAGGAAAGATCTACTCACCTGGTTTGTGGGTATTCAGCTACAAGAATATGCACATCTATTTGATGAAAATCAAGATTTTGCGTGGTTGGATAAAATAGATCGTCGTTATATGTGGATAAAAAAGCATTTACTTGATTTTGAATCAAAGTTTGGTACCATTTTTCCACAAGACTGGGAAGTTTCTGAACGAATTGCTGTGCAATTTTGTCATGTTACAAAAGAAGATCTTACAAAGTTAATGCATAAAAGACGTTCTGAAATAGATGTAAAATTGTTACTTTATGCAATTCAAAGGACTAGTAATTTTGAATCATTGTTAACGAAAAGATTTAGCGGCATTACTTTAGAAAACGTAGACACGACAAATAAGAAAAATATTACCACAGATACAACTGATAATAAAATTCCGGGAAATCCATTCGAACAAAATGATCAGGTATCGTTTTTCAAAATGTCATGTAAAATTATATTATACTTAATACTAAAACAATATTAAATTGTATTATAAAGCAGATACAAAATGAAAAACCAAAACCATCACCATTTTCAAATCTCATCGGAAGATGTTTTGAGCCGTATTTAAATATTTATATAGAGAGTTTAGATCGTAATCTGGCAGACCTAGTGGATAAATTTATCTCAGATTCTAAAACACAACCACCAGGTGCTAAAGATTTTGATGGTATTGAGGGTCCTAGTAGCGTATTATCTTCTTGTGCAGATCTGTTTATATTTTATAAAAAATGTATGTTACAATGTACGCAACTTAGTACTGGTTCAATTATGTTGAATTTAGCTGAAACTTTTCAAAAATATTTGCGAGAATATGCTCTTAAAATATTGCAAAATAATTTACCTAAGTAAGTAGAATATATACTTTTTATTTTTGAGTCAATTATATTTATGAATCATATTTTATAATCTTTCATAATTAAAATTTATTATAGAATTGGCGGTGGTGCAGGCATTGCTACTAGTATGAGTAGTATACGTGATTTTCGAGATCTTTCAACCTCGGGCTTTATACAAAATTTTCAAAGTTTTTTAAAGGAAGGTGAAAGTACTAGATTCAATAAAGAAGAGCAGTCACGTATATGCTGGTAAAGGTTTGCTAATTGAAAGCATTTCAATTAATATTTGGTAGAAAATAAACTGAACAAAATTATATTTTAGTATACTAACTACAGCCGAATATTGCTTAGAAACAACACAACAATTAGAAGAAAAGCTAAGAGAGAAAACAGATAAATGTTACTCAGAAAAAATTAATCTATCTCAGGAACAAGATATTTTTCATAAGTATGCATTACATATTTTTTTATAGGATTTTATAGGATATTCCATTAATTTTTTCATAACACAATTCATAATGGTTTTTTTAGTGTTATATCAAATTGTATACAACTACTTGTTCAAGATTTGGAATCTGCATGCGAATCTGCATTAACTGCAATGACAAAGGTACTCAATTTCATATTTATTATATGTATGATTTTATCTATTTTTACTGGTGGATAAATATTTTTTAGGTTCAATGGAGCGCCATTGAGGTTGTTGGTGATCAAAGTAATTATGTTAATACCATTGTAGCGCATCTTCGACAAACGATACCTACTATCAGAGATAAGTTGTCTTCGTGTAGAAAATATTTTACCCAACTATGCGTGAAATTTGCAAGGTATTTGAAAAATAAAACGAATTTATTTTATTAAATGTCAAAAAATCTAATGAAAAATTTCTTTGCAGTTCGTTTATAGTAAAATTAGTACAGCAATTGTATAAGTGTAAACCTTTAAATACTGTTGGTGCTGAACAATTATTATTAGACGTACACATGTTGAAAACTGCTTTATTAGATCTCCCGTCAACAGGATATCAAGTTCAAAGAAAAGCACCCGCCACGTATACTAAGGTAATATTTTTTGATACATGTATAAATTTTTACACTTACTTATTAAATCACATATTTTACTGTAAATAGGTTGTAGTGAAAGGCATGGCAAGCGCCGAAATGATACTTAAAATCGTGATGTCACCTATAGAATCTCCAAAAGATTTTGTAAAGCAATGTAGAATACGTTTACCCGATTTACAAGTGCCAGAATTTCAAAAAATTTTGGACATGAAGGTAAATTAATTTTTTTGATAAATATTTGAAACATTTATTACTTATATTAAAATTTTAATAATTCGTAGGGTTTGAAAAAAACAGATCAAGTTTTATTACTCGAACAGTTTAAGCAACCTGAAAATATAGATATTTCACATGACACTAGGAATTATATCATTCAAGATAGTCCCGAACATGAAGCTGGTCGAATAAAAAGATTGGAAAAGTTAATTAAAAAGAGAATATGAATGTTTCATAGTGAAACTTCAATTGTACATATTAAAATTAAATGTATTTGTAATTATAAAAGTATTAAATACTAATATTCCATAATTCTTATTTTGTTTCAATAAAATAAAAATTGTTCTTATACAATGAAGAGGTTTTATCTTTCAAAATTATTTTAAATTAATCAAAGGACTTGCATTATCAAAAACAACGGAATCTGATTTTGTGTTTTATTGTTGTACATAGAAAACAATGTGATCAGGTAGATATTAACCCTGCTTTTGTGCAAGTTCTTTTGCTTTAGCCTTCTCTAATTTAGCTATCCTAGCAGCAGATTTACTGCCCAATAGACCACCACCCCAATGACGTCGGATTTCATCGTATCTATCATTAAAGTTTGTCTTAATTGCTTCAACCAATTTCGAGAAATTGGCTCTATCGCCGGAATCAACCTAACGTAGAAATAATGTATTATCAGAAGTAATAAAACTAAAATTACGATACATAGAACTAGTAAAATTTAATTCAGTAACGCAATGTTTATATCATTAAAATATCATTCAATTGGTTTTGTTTAAATTCATCATACTATAAATTACTAATAACTATATTTTATATAAGAATAATTGCTTAAAAAGCCTTACCTGTACCAAAGCCACTGCAGTACAAGTTTTACGCCTGACAAGACGTCCCAATCGTGATTTACCTTTCACAATACAATACGGTACGCCCATTTTACGACAAAGGGCAGGTAGAAACAAAACAACCTGTAATAACAGACAATGGATAAATAAAAGAGAGTAATATAATTAGTACTTGATGACTCAAACAATATATCACTCAGTGTCATGTTTCATCCTTTGAAAAGAATTGATTATATTAAATTTATTCTCAGGTGAAGAAATTCAAACATCATTGTTATGGAACAATTAAATGTATTTTAAGAAAGATAAAAAATATACCTCAATTGGATCAACATCATGAGCAATCACCACAAGTTGAGCTTTTTTTTGTTCTACAAGCGTAGTGACAGTGTTTGTTCCACTACGTAGCACATTAGGTTTTTTCGTTGGTGTATCCTCTTTCTTTGCAACTTTTTGTTCAGCTCTAGCTTTTAGCCTCATCTTTTTCATAGTAGCTGATTCAGGTCTATATTTTTCCAACATTTTGAATAATTGTGTTGCTATAACATAAAAGGTTAATATACTTCTATAAGTAAATTTTAGAAATTTTCTTAACTTGCATATAATAAGTATGAAATAAATAAACCTGTTTGTTTATCCAATGTTTGTGTAAATTGATTGATTGGTGGTGGTACTTTCAATCTTTTCTGCAGTACAGCTCTCTGCCGTTGAATACGAATATATTTGGGCCATTTTACAAAGCGGCTCAGATCACGGGCAGGTTGAATATCCTGTCCTAAATAATAGGTTGTTCATTATTATATACGTGAATTAATATCAATACATGATAATTAATTTGTACTCACCAATACCAAAATTACGAGTACGTTTTTCAAACAAAGGATTGGTTTGCTTTTTGGGTTCAACCTTCTTGACTGCCAAAGGTGCAGCAGCCACCTTTTTTCCTACCTTCTTCTTCGGCTTTTTATGAAAATGTACATATTAATATCATTTATATTAAACTTTTACTATGCATTTATTACAAAATAATATATGCATAAATAATGTACATTCAAAATGTTGCAGTTAACCTCAAAAATGTGATATAACTTTTATAACTTTTAAACATTTGTATATCTTAAATATTATTTCTAACTTAATAAGATTGTAAACCTGGTAAGCAGTTGAATATGATAATAAAATATAGAACAACCATACCATAAGAACAACATATTTATAACATGTTCAAAACATGCTGAATTCTAACCATTGTAATTTATCACAATAAATCGTTATCGTTATAAATATTGATTTTATTCAGCAATTTAGTAAATTTACCTTCTTTTGAACCATGGTTCTAGCAATAAGTTTGTTGGATCTTTTATATCGCAACGGATATAAAAGTTCACACTTTGTTTGGCGCAACACGAAGTACGGCCACCAAAAACGTAAAGAGAGATTCACATAGCAGCGCCACCACAAATATGCAACAGCGCCACTTGAGAATTAAACTCTTACAATCATTTTTAAAGAAGAAACAACAATTATTTGTATTTTTTGCAATCATTTATCGCAATCACAATTAATTTTAAATAACTTTTTAAGTATAAAAAGGAACAAGAATAAAACAATATTATAATTCCATCATATAAAATAATTATTTATAATTCCATCATATAAAATAATTATATTTCATTTATAAAAATATATATATAAGCTTGCAAAAAATCACCTTTTATCATACAGAATTAATTCGATCAATCATTAATTGTTAATTGATATATAAATGTATAACATATAAGTAATTGCTAGGTCTGAAAGTACATTACGATTACATGCATATGAAGCGTTGAAATATGCTATCGATTTAGAACGTGTCATTAGCAAAATACAAACCTAACTTGTGTAAACGAACGGGAAGTTATAATTAATTTCAAGTTCAAGAGTTCTTCTTGTCGAAACAAATGCGAAAAGTAAATTTGAAATGCGCGGTAGTGAATTATGAAATTATGAAACGCGCATGCGCAGATTCACTAGCGACGAGAACGTGGAAACGGTTGGAACCTGCTTCGCGCGTGCGACGTACGTACCTTCAGTTTAGACTTTTTTCTGATAAGGAACGTGTAGTGACCATGTCAGTGTTCATAATGTGCCGACGATCCGTCTACGATACGTACCTGTCATGAACGCTGATCTTTCGTATTCAAGAAATTTTCGTTTATTCGCGTGCTCGTGACAGTACGTGTTCTGAATGGTTAGTAGTTTTTTCAACTTATCGTTACATTTCTTTCCGTCCCATCGTTGATTCTGAGAAACTTCGCATTTTCTCTATTTGGGCATACTTTTAGGATCATTAATTGCAGATAATATTCGTATCAGTTCAAATATTGCTACTTAAATATCATTGATGGCCTTAATTCATCTATTCTGTCTGTCTAAAGTTAGTAATCGATTTTATGGTCGTTACTTGCATCGTATGCTGAACTCGTCGTACAGCATTCCGTTAACGGTTGCTGAGAAAAACATCTGACATTCGCTGAATTGAATTTACATGAAATTATAGCGGTATACGATCTTTTTCATTGATGAACATATCTTACTCAAATCAATAGAAATGTGAATATAAGTTGACAATTAAACAGTAATCCATGAAAAAACAACTGACTTTAAACTTTACACTTAAATTTACATTTCGATGAAATATCAGCAGAATATGTCATATTTTCTCCGACAGAATATTCTAGAGTACATTTTTAATTTTCAATTAAATAAAAGAATACCTTTCGAGAAGATATTTTCTTGGTCGATTTCGATATATTTAATCATAGATTAACATTATCACCATGTTTTTTAATTTAGAAGACTCAGTACGCGCGAATGTCGGTGTAAATATGTTTGCCGATAATAAATCACTATAATACTGTATTGCAGCTACGATTCTTGGTACTTGATAACGATTTTTTTATACGAAATAAAAATTTAGTACCATTTGTTACCTGTTCACTGCAACTCGAGCCTATAAAACGTGAGTATAATGACTGAAGTAGTTGCATATTATCATATTTTTATTTACTATATAATCACTTAGATTTAAATATATTAAATGTCATATTAATTTATGATGTTTCATAGAAATATTATAAAAGTTCGATATAAAAATAAAACGTAGAAAAGTTGGTAGGAAAAGTTTCATTGAAGATAAAGATACATGAAAATGCTTTTAGCAATAACCAATAATTATTACTACAGTATCTATACACAGAGTATATTATCCTATTTATTCTATAAAAATGATTTTGCTTGAAGGAAGATAACTAGCGGTAGTTTAATGATTAATAGGTACAATATCGGTCGATCGACATGACTATCAAAAAGATTTGCGGTATCGGTGCTGGATACGTAGGCGGGCCAACGTGCAGCGTGATAGCACTGAAATGCCCAGAGATTCAAGTGACCGTGGTGGACAAGAGCAAAGAGAGGATTGCACAATGGAACTCGGAGAAGCTACCGATCTACGAGCCAGGTCTCGACGACGTTGTTCGCAAGTGTCGCGGCAAAAATTTATTCTTCTCCACGGACATGGAGACCGCGATCCAGGAGGCTGATTTAATTTTCATCTCGGTGAACACGCCGACGAAAACGTTCGGCAATGGGAAAGGGAGAGCAGCCGACTTGAAGTACGTCGAGAACGCGGCCAGAATGATCGCGGAAATTGCGACCGGGGACAAAATCGTTGTGGAGAAGAGCACGGTGCCAGTGAGAGCGGCGGAGAGTATCATGAATATTTTACATGCCAATCACAAGCCAGGAGTATCGTATCAGGTAACGTTTCCGCCACGGAAATTTGCAATAATCGTCAATCATCGAAAATAGACAATTTTGTATAAGTCGGAGAAGTAAATACGAGAGAAACAAAAAATGGTTCAGTTTTCACTTTTTCCACACTGTTGCGCGATTAAATCAATATCGGGAAATTTTACAAGTCGCTGTACAAGACCGCTTGTGTCTACAGTTAAAGGAACCTAAATAGAAATTTCTTGTACTGTACAAATGAATTCTAATGAATTTTAAATACTTTATAAAGTTCAAACATTCGCAATCTAATCGTGGCTTATAAATTATTAATAAGTCACCTCTGTGTGGTAATAACAAATCGAATGTGACTTTACAATCAAATCTTACAGATTATATATTATTGTGCAAGAGGATCGTGAAATGCTAATTACTTTGATCAAAGTAGAAATTGCTTTCTTGGAACTTCTTTGTTTCACTTTCATTGCTCTCTGTAGAGCAAGATTTAATGGTCTGGAGAGTAATGGGTCGAATGGCCACGTGGCTGGCTTCCGGTGCCCCGTTGTGCATCAGAAGTTAGGATTGTGCAGATAGATATAGTTTATTGGACTGAATATCGAAGCAAAACAAGAGCAAAGGAAATTTAGTACAGTCGCTTCTCGCTCGTAATGGAGTTACATTACTGTAGCCTTTGAAGTTATTTTTAGATTTTCCAGATGCATCTTTTATTGCATTTTGATTGATATTTTTTCCGTTCTATTTATAGAAACTATGCTAGCACCTTTTAATTATTATTATTAAAATATTGAAACACGTTATCCAGTCTGAATGTTTCGGAAGATTTTAAAAAATTGAATTATTAATTTAGCTCTCGTTTTTATTTAAGGATTAATTAAGGACAAATGCTAATCGTTTTGCAGAATGTAGTTTTCAAATGCAAATATTCTGTTAGTTATCAACGGTGTACGTAAACATATATAGACATATTTAATTTGTCTATATATGTTTGTTAATTTACTTTTTAATTTACCATTTCAAGAATATTTCGATCATCGATCGTTCAATGATATGTGCAATGATACGTACTATTCATGCTTCTTGTTTATGTCCATTATATTAATATGTTAATAATATGTTAATAACGGAGCTTCGAAGTCAACTGATTCAATATTTGTCGAGTTTACACGTACTTGCTCAAGCGTACAAGAAACTTTACTCGAGATGCTATTCATTCGTCACGTATTGTTCGTGACCTTTTTTTCGCCATTCGCAGTAATCAATCTTTTTATTATTTGTATCACGTTCCTCGGTCATCATCGACGCAATTGTGCAAAATGAAATGTAGTAACAGAATATTTATAACTCCTTTCCAGATCTTGTCGAATCCAGAGTTCTTGGCGGAGGGGACCGCTATCGAGGATCTAGTGAACGCAGATCGTGTTTTAATCGGTGGCGAGGATTCACCGGAAGGGCAGGCGGCCATCGAGGAATTATGCAAGGTTTACGAGCATTGGATTCCAAGGAAGAATATTTTAACTACAAATACTTGGAGCTCGGAGTTATCCAAGCTGGTAAAAACACTAAAACAAAATATTTCTACTCGCTGGAGAAACAATATATCACTGCTGTTTGTTAGTTTGCGAAAATAATTACGTTTACGCAACGTGTACTTAATTAATATTGGAAGAGGAATATTTTATGTATATTATGTACATAATATTATATATTATATATTATATATTACATATTATGTATATAATATATATTACATATTATGTATATAATATATATTATATATTATGTATATAATATATATTATATATTATGTATATAATATATATTATATTATTATTAGATATTATATTATATATTAAACTAGATAATTAACTTAAATTAGATATTATATTATATATTAAACAGCTGTTTATTGTTAACCAACTGTAATCAACTGTTGAAACTTTTGCATAATTATTTGAATCAACTGTGATTTTAGGCTGCCAATGCCTTTTTGGCGCAACGCATATCAAGCATAAATTCCTTGTCGGCAGTGTGTGAGGCGACTGGTGCGGATGTATCCGAAGTGGCACGAGCGGTTGGCCTTGACTCGCGAATAGGATCGAAGTTCCTTCATGCATCGGTCGGGTTCGGCGGTTCGTGCTTTCAAAAGGATATTCTTAATCTGGTGTACATCTGCGAATGTCTAAATTTACCTGAGGTGGCGGCTTATTGGCAACAGGTCATAGACATGAACGAGTACCAGAAATCTAGGTTCTCAGCGAAAGTAATAGAATCCCTGTTCAATACTGTCACGGATAAAAGGATTTCTATGCTGGGTTTCGCCTTCAAGAAAAATACCGGCGACACACGTGAGTCACCGGCCATTCATGTTGCCAAGACTTTACTCGACGAGGGTGCTATGCTTCATATATACGATCCCAAGGTGATTCTCTTCGATGAGAATGCACTTAATTTGATTTGTTGCTAAACTTTTGTATAACCTTTTCTTTACGAAGGTCGAAGAGAGTCAAATAATCGAGGATTTGACGCATCCGAGTGTAACTAACGATCCAGAATACGTAAAAACTAGAATCAGTATTTACAAGGACGCTTACAGTGTTACGAAAGGTACACACGCTATAGTATTGTGTACGGAATGGGATGAATTTGTAGTAAGTAATTGAAAGTAATTCAATTTTAATTTAATGAGTTTACGAAAGTGTTACGAATGACATTTCGAAAGTGTTTTTTTACGATATCATTCTTTTCAGGAATTGGATTATAAACGAATTTTTATCAACATGATGAAACCTGCATACATTTTTGATGGTAGGAAGATTCTGGACCATGATAGACTACAAAAAATAGGTTTTATCGTACAGACTATTGGCAAAAGGATTACAAGATCCGTACTTTCAAGAGCATGGGGAAGTCAAACTCAAATCTGA